ATGTCTTTGATGTTACGGAATGTTATTGATCTTTTAGAATGTCTTTGATGTTACGGAATGTTCGGTGATATTCTAGAATGTTCTACATCCTCCAGAGTCATTAATTTAGTTTGTCCACAGCTCCATAAGTAGGCGGGATTTATGACCTATACTGCAGCCTGTCACCAGAGGGCGCTGTTCTCGGAGCGAGGAGGCAGATGGCGTCCGTTCTATATACAGTCTATGGTTCAGGATGGTTCAGCACACCTGAGAAATCAGGGACAAGTATCAACATGATCTGTTACCGCGGTAACAAACCTGCGTTTGGTCCGAGCCGATCGTGTCCTCAGCCTCCCTGTGGAGAAAAAGAGACAAACATCAGAACCCCCTTCTGAGGTCTCCAGGAGAACTTCTCCACCCTCACTGAGCCTCACCCAGACATGCTCTGCTTCTCAGAGAAGACCCGCAGGATAAACTCGCCTTCTTGATTGGGTTCAAAGGTCGTGGGGATGATGACGTATTCTCCTGGAGGCAGACGGAAGCGCTCCGTCACCTCCCGCAGGTTGATGTAGGTCTTGCATTTGGCTTTGGAGGCCGTGTACAGGAAGAAGTCCTTCTGGAGATGTTGATGTTGTCCGCACATCTGAGGATGGACAGGAATGAGGGAGGGGTGGGAACAGTTGGACTCTGGTCAGGAAGAGGTTTCAGCTGAACTCAGACAGAGGTCAGAGGTCAGCTGATCACCTGACCACATTTACTAAAAGAGATCCTTCACTCCTCAAACTCTCGGATCCTGACCGACACAAACATCTCCATCTGTCAGTCTGGAGAAGAAGACCTGAAAGGTCTGAGGGTCTGAGGGTCTGAGGGTCTGAGGGTTTAAAGGTCTGAGGGTCTGAGGGTTAGAGGGTCTGAGGGTCTGAGGGTTTAAGGGTCTGAGGGTTTAAGGGTCTGAGGGTCTGAGGGTTTAAGGGTCTGAGGGCTTAAGGGTCTGAGGGTCTGAGGGTCTGAGGGTCTGAGTCTGTTAGTGATGTGAAGATCAGTTCTTTTGACTGTATCTTTAGAATCCGTTCATTAAAACGATTCGTTCAAAAGATTCGTTCACTGAATCAGTCAGTGTTTCGGAGCCCCGTCCTGTCGCTGCAGTACACCAGTGAGTGACACAGCGGTGCTGATGGCGAGTTCGTTCATTAGCCCCTCCCCTCTCCTGCTGCTGAAGTCACAGCGTCGTTCACTGGTGACTCGTGTCGTTCATTCGCCAAGTCCTGAAGGAAGAATCACTCCCCCGCCCTGAAAAACTCACCTCTCTGTGTGTCGCCGTCTGTCGGCGGAAACAACACAGCAGCGAGCAGCACGCCGCTAAACGAGCTCGAGTCGTCGTTCTTTTATATGTCAGAAAAGTGGCGAGATTAAAACTGAATAAAGATGTCAGCTGTAGCGAGGATTCAGAGACTTTTAAAGATATCAAATATCGTATTTCTTTGAATCGTCTGAAATTAAAACACGTGTTTTAATGTAAAGGCGCCATAATGTATAACAGTCTGACTGATTCATGTCGTTCATTCGCTGTGAGTGCATCACAAGACTCCGCCCACCCACTCGCTAGCTAACTGGCTGTTTCGTTCGCCAAAGACTCAAAGGTGGCAGTTTCACTCCCGACCGGCACGCCACATGCAGCTGAGCTCAACTGAGCAGAGAAAGGAACCAATCAGGTCTGAGAGTGATTCAGTTCATGTCGTTCACTCAGCAGTTCTTCTGAACGAATCGTTCATGAACAACACAAACACGAGTGTCCGTCAGCACAGCCATGAGGTCCCCTTCACCTGTCCCCTCATGCACAAACATCAGCATGGACATGAGTCCGGTCTGTTAAAGTGCTGACTCATTCATGACAGTGTCCTGATCCAACATGGCCGTACCTCCTTAGGCACCTGTGAAGACAGAGCAGAAGTTAAAGGGTTAAACGTTCACACCTCTCAGAGTCTGAGAGTCTCCTCAGCATAGATATAGATATAGAAACGCTAGATGACTCACGCACGCTGTTAGCCAACGGAGACTGACGTCTGCGCATGGCGGCCATCTTGCTACAGTCAGCTTGCCCTCTCCTAACATTCCAGTCTACAGTTCATGTAACATATAAATAACCATAGATTGATTAATTTTAAACCGATTTTTAAACAGTTTGGTTTGTAACAAACCTCAGAGTTTTAGTTATGATCCCTCATACTCAAGAATAATTTTAACCATGGATTTACATAAATAAACATTAAACAGATAGTTAGAGCAACAGCTACAGGTCTACACATACAAGGCAGTTATATTCAATCATTTAAAACATTTAATCATTCCATGTATGTTATATGTTATTATAGTTTTCCCTTTATTATAAATATTACTGATATAACAATAACATATATAAATATTTATTTTCAATATAAATTTCTGCCTCATGTTTCCATTTTAGATGTTTTTAACAAACCAAACAGTTTAGAAATCATGTGTAACTTCAGTTCTGTTGAATCTAAAGAGCATTTCTGTCTCTTTAACTGATGTAAAATTACTGGGTCAACTTTGTAATATGTACATGGTCTCACTCACAGTGAGTCTGTTAGCCAAGTTAGACAGCTGATAAACACAAGACCATCCACAAAGACTGACACCTAGACTGAATAAATAAATAAAAATAGTCTGTCTTACCATAAATTAAAATCTTGATTGTGGTCTCAGCGTTGACAAAGTGACTCAAAGTTAACCCTTGCTCACAAATAGCCATGAAACAACTGGGATGTCCCAACATCCAGACCCTCGTTATTAAAGTCTGTAATAAACTAAACCGTTTATAAATCTGTGGAGATTTCAGAGAGTTTAGAGGATTTCTGATCAGATTACTCACTTCCTGTCAGCTACCATAGAGAAGATCAGACTGGTATACTGGAGTAAGATGGCCGCCGTGTAGAGACACTGTTGACTCCGCCTCATAGAGTCATCTAGCCTTTCTTACAGATATCTATGCTCCTCATTACCTCATAGATGGAAAATCCAATGGTGAGAAATTTGGCCCCTTGATGGCGCTGCATCCTTCGACCTTTCTGCATCAGCGCCACCACGAAAGTGCAGACCACCCGCCCGTCCTCTGGGTCGTCATCCTCCTCGTACAGCTGCAGCCGGTACTGAGGGTTGGTCCAGAACGTGTCTGTGAGGAACGACATCAACATCTAGAGCTCCAGTGAAGACACTCAGAGGAGCTTCAAACATCATGAGTTTAGAGGAGGAGGAGGAGGAGGAGGAGGAGGACAGGCCCACCTGGAAAGTTCCTGCAGCCCCCCGCAGAGTTTCCTCTCACCCAGCGACCCTCATTGACAGACACAGTCCAGGTGTGTCTCTCCTCACCCTGCAGGGTGTCAGGGGTCAGGTTACACATCTCCAGCTTTGTGAAGTTCCTCTTGAAATCATCAAAAGACATCCTGGAGACGGGTAAGAAAGAGGAAGTGTGAAGGAGAAGTTCACGCAGGGTCCTTCTTGTTGGTACGAAGACCGCACTACCCCTCCCTGAATCTGACCACAGACCCCACCCTTTATTTTCAGTCATAGACATAGAGCACACAGATGTTCAACACTTTGGGCTGAAATCTTAGAAACAAGTTAAGAGTTCACAGACCAAAGTTTTTCAACTGAAACTTTAGAGAGTGAGAAAATCAGGAAGAGAAACCACCACACCGCACCGAACACCGCCCGGTTTTCCGATGATGGGAATCGGACTCACCAGAACTCGCTGGCTTCAACCGTCTGTTTTTAGGGCCCGAGCGTAGCTGCTAAGCAGCTGCGAGAGCCCTCTTGTTCCTGTAGTTTCCTTCTTTTGTTATTATTATTATTTTTCCTCCCCTTTGAACTGGAAAATGGCCCACTTCCCACTGGCGAAAACTCATGAAATTTGGCAGGACGACCGGGCCTGGTGAAAAATTTGATATTCTGAAGTCGCCCAAACAAGAAAATGCAAAATGGCTCCATAGCGCCCCCTAAGGTGAAAATTCACACTATTCACTGTCACGCCTGTACGCTTTGTCAAAATGACACAAAAATTGACACACACATGTATCTCAATAAGATCTACAAAAAAGTCAGTGCGGGCGTATCTGTCAAATGTACGGTTAAAGGGTTATTTCGCATTTTTTGCCGATCCGCACACATTGGAATTTCGCTAACTCCTCCGAAGGCTTTCGTTCCACCGGCACCACATTTGCTTAGGCCAATCTACACCCCATGGCCATTAAAAGTTATTCAAATCATGACGCTGCACCCCACGGTTTAGGTTCTAGGGGGCGCCAAAGATAACCCTAAGATCCACATATTTAAAAGTCTTATAACTTTTTATTTTTGCCCTCACTGGCCTCCAAGTTTTCTAGGATGATGCAATGTCCAGCCATCAACACATTTGTGAAGGAATTTTTACTCCCCAAAAGAGCGCCCCCCATGGCAGGAGAAAAAAGTCCATTTTTTCTTGTCCCCTAAGGTGAAAATACACATTGTTGAGTGTAACACCTGTACGCTTTGGCAAAATGACACAAAAATTGACACACACATGTATCTCAATAAGATCTACGAAAAAGTCAATGCGCGCGTATCTGTTAAATGTACGGTTAAAGGGTTATTCCGCATTTTTTGCCGATCCGCACACATTGGAATTTCGCTAACTCCTCCGAAGGCTTTCGTTCCACCGGCACCACATTTGCTCAGGCCAATCTACACCCCATGGCCATTAAAAGTTATTCAAATCATGACGCTGCACCCCACGGTTTAGGTTCTAGGGGGCGCCAAAGATAACCGTAAAATCCACATATTTAAAAGTCTTATAACTTTTTATTTTTGTCCCCACTGGCCTCCAAGTTTTCTAGGATGATGCAATGTCCAGCCATCAACACATTTGTGAAGGAATTTTTACTCGCCAAAAGAGCGCCCCCCCATGGCAGGAGAAAAAAGTCCATTTTTTCTTGTCCACTAAGGTGAAAATACACATTGTTGAG